TAGACGGGGCAATGTCAATTTCAAACCTAAAGTTGCTGCATTGTAATTTGCTTATTGGATAAACCCGAGTCTGGGTAGTAACCTTTTATGATAATTTTTAACACCTTTCAATCCCATAGGGTAACAGCTGTAGGGCAACATTGTGAGTGGCTCTGAGGCCAACACATTAGCATAAGACTAGGTATAAAAAGCACATGCGTCAGGTAACCAGCAGGAAGGAGGGAACAGAATGGTCATTTCTGTTCCATGCCTGGACCCCAGACTCCTGGTGTGAGTGAGGATCGGATCCTGATCAAGGGATCTTCCCCAGTAACTCTCTGACAGTGTCGATCGGGGACGCCTGACTTCGCTGGAATCACTTGACATGTACCTGGTACTGAGGGACTATCGATAAGTTGCCAACCCATGTCTGTCTATCTGTTGTTTTGTACAGCCCAGTGGCTAATACCCTCGCAGTGCCCAGTTGGCCTGTGACAGAATTGATTTATCTGTTATTGTTATTTACTATTAGCTCTTTAATACTGCATTATCTGCTTATCGCATTTATCTTTGTTAACTATTGTGTGTGTGTAAGCTATAACAAATTTGCCTTTATTCCACTCCCAACTTTGCCTCCTTGATCCAAAACTGAACCAAACAGCCCAGTTGGCCTGTGATAAAATTGATACACTCACAGTGCCCAGCTGGCCTGTGACATGTGTTCTTTATGATTTCTATATTTCTATCTATGTTGTGTCTGTGTGATGTTCATGACAAGACAAATTCTCACCACACTGGGCACTGGTCCCGGATTTGTCCCCGGAGTTTGAATTTGTATCTGCAATCAGGAAAAAATGGTAACATGCAACAAATAGGCTTAAGATTAAAAGCAATTACTCCTGGAAAAAAGTTTGAGCAAAACTAGAATTGTCATCCTGCAAGAGATTCCAAGATTGTAAGATTTTGTTTTGTCCTGAGTCAGGATGAAAGTAGGAATCTTGAAAGTTTTTGGCAAGGTGAAACTTTCTAATATTTTTTTTACCTTTTCAAAACATTGATTGTTCCTAGAAAATGGATATGCACCCACGAAACATTTGAATGTAATCAAGTCAGCATTTTCCAATAGGAAAAAACATTCTAATGGAAAGTTTTTTGACCACCTTCATTCATAAGCAAGATATACACGTGCCAGTTGCAGAGAGCTAGGTATCCTCGTTAGTCTGAAGTCAAGTAGAAGGCAAGGCAGAGTTGAACCTTATAGACATCCTTAGCCTTTGTATTTGCATCACTTTCTACTTGAACGATTGCTCCCTGCAAGTCCATTCACAGCTTGCCTTGTCAGATGCTATTGCTTATGAAAGTTTATGCATCTGAGTTAGTCTATACGGTGCAGCCCCGTCAAGTGCCAGCTGGTCAGAGATAAGGAGCTTGCTCACAGCTTATTGAAGAACAGCATCTTACCAACAGAACTAGTGGTGCTCGTTGTTCAGTTACACTTCTGCGTTTTCCTTTATCTTGCCAGGCCGCCCAACATGCTGGCAGAAAAGGAATGCCACTGACATTGCTGTCCGCTGTGTTTGAAAGCTGCAGTGTTATTTCAGCCAGATGGTGGACTTAGTCACCCTACCACAGTTTTTTGGAACACTCGACTCTGTCCTCCCACAGCTTCAAGTCATCTCAGAACTACCTCATGCCTTTGAAAATGGATCCATGGAGTTGTATGTGCTTTGCTCTGTAGGGCCCTTCCAAGTGAAAAGTAACATTTTCTGAAGTGCCCAAGTGACTTAAGAGCCAAACTCCCATAGCCTTTCACTGAAGCCCTTATGAAAATTTTACAGAGACCTACAGGTCAAGGTTCCATCTGCTTTGGATAGAACTTGCCAGGACCAACATTAAAGATGTTCGTCCTGACATGGAAGCCATGATGGCACTAGACCAGTGTTACTAGATCTGCCTGTCACTTTGGGGTGTGCTCATTTATTAGGGGTACATTTCTGGGGCCTCTAGAATTCTATCAATGTACTGCTTGTGTTACTTGTGTTTCTATATGGAGCTGTATTTCTCCTTTCTGCAAATCCTCACCCCCACTGGAGCTATCTTACAGGACTCAGGTTCATTGAGGCTGGGTTCCTCCAACTGCTGAATTGGTCAAACACACACACAGATTAATAGGGCATGCCCGAGTCAGGCCAAATTAGTCAGCCTGTCAGTGCAGACACACTCGTGTGTCTTGAACTCAGTTCATCCCTCATTTCAGCAGGGCAATAATAAAATGCAGTTAGACACCCATACACACACGCTAACAGGGTATGACTGAGCAGGCGGTGTCTGATCACCACTTTCAGCTGATGCCCTCATGTGCCGCAAAAAACTCAGCACATCCCAATCTCTTGTCACAATGGTCCTAGTAGTAACTCCCTTGATGAGCAGACCCCACTGCAGTATTGGGCAGTACAGGGATCTTTGCCTTAGGTAAAAGAAGTGTTGCTGCAGAGCAAATGGGGAGGTCAAGGGGAAGGAAGAGTACAACACCACATGGTCACTGCAAACAGGAGTGAGAAGAGAGAAGAGAAGGAAAGAGAGAGAGAAAAAGAGAGAGAGAGAGAGAGAGAGAGAGTATAGCAGCCCGCTTGACCATAAGTTATTTATTGCCAGGTATAGCCCAACTGCCTCTTTACAGCTGTAAAAAAGCTTCAACAAATTGGTCCCCAGTGTTAAAATTAGTCAGAAAACATGGACAATCAAAAACTTCAGTCCCACAGACAATGATTATGAGCAATATTCTGCATCTTTAAACATAATGCATTTAGAAAAACATCTTTAAGAAATGTGCAAATATTTGTCTACAATTTTGTGCTATTCCAAGAGCCCCAATTTCCTTTACACCAGACCTTGTTTGTGTTACTTTTCACATATGTTCAGGACATTTTAGAAGTTCAAGGTTTCTACAGTATTTGAACAGGAAGGAATTTCTTAACATATCAATTGATTGGCTGGAAAAGGAAATTCTTCACAGATGTTCATCTCATCCCAATGTGTTCAAACACAAGAGGCAATTCAGGCTTGAAAGCCTCATTTACCAGGCCCTTGTAAACTCAAGACACATGCACACAGTCCTCACTGGCATTGTTTCTTTTCAGTGACAAACTACAAAGGGGCTCATAAGGCACAAACAGAACTGCTGCTCCATTGCAACTCATGCAGAGTGCTGTGGGTTACAATGGGATCCCCTTGACTCAACAGAAATTCTCTGTTGGGTCCTGGGGTTTGGGGAATCCAGCTGCTGTTTAGAGTGGCTGGGAGCCTGCAGCCAGAGCCTGCAGCCACTTTCCCCTAGCAACACCCCTCCCTCCTCCCAGCCCCAGATGTTTTCAGAATGGGAGGGGGGAAAAGGGAGCAGAGAGCTTGTTCTGGGGGGGGCCCCACAGCCAGCACAGGAGGGTGGAGGCTGTTGGAGGACCCCTTCCCCCTTCCCTCCCCTCACTGCAGACTGAACTCCCCCTGCTCCTTTTTTCCCCTCCCATTTTGAAAACTTTGCAGGGGCTGAGTGGCAGTATAGACACAAGTTACTGAAGCGGCTCCATTTTGGAGCATCTTCATTTGAACCCTCGTGCAATGGGGAAGGGGAGGGAAGCAGGGGCAGGGGCACTCAGTGACTTTCCTGCTGTACTTGTGGATTTGGTGCAGCTGATGAGGAGTGTCTGAGAAAAGTCACTCCTATTGGGGTTACAGAGCTGGTTATATACATAGCTTTACTCTGCCTGTTTGATTTTCCAGAGGTGAATAACTTGGACTGTTGCCGATTAAACTCTTCCCATGCATAAAGACAACAGGAATGGCTTGGTGCTGGATTGGTTCCTTTTCAAGAGCTATCATTTTTCACTTAGGAAGATCATTTTGCTCATAGGAGTTAGAGGGTTACACGCTCCACAGATTCTGTAGGCCAAGGGCATTGTATACACCAGAGGCTTCTTGCTTCCTTCCATTCCTGCTCCTAATAAACTCCGTGCGCCACCCTTCACTCATCATTATTTCAAGGACTCCCTGCAAGCCTTCTGTCCAATATACCTGTGGTTCTGCATGCCCCTTCAAACCTGCTTTCCTCTCCCCCTTAGTAAGGGCCACCAGTCCCTGTGTGCTAAGCCAGGTGGGCCTTAGGGACTTTCCAAGCCTTACTCATTCCCTCCCTTCCTTCCTTTAACCTCCATCCCTATTCTTATTCCCTTCCTCTGCTTCTGGGAGAAAGGTCTCTCAGGGTGTCAATTTTAAACTATATCAGAAAGATGAATAGAACTAAAAGGAAAGGCTCTTTTTGGAGGAGTGGTGGGAGTTAAGTTTCCACCATTAAGCTGTTATGTGATCAAGAAAGAGTTATAGAGATTGTTGAAATTGAAATTCTGCTAACCAGATGTTAAGGACTTCAAATGTTTCCCCTCTTTCATACCATCTTCCAAATCCCACCCCCTCCCTGCAATTAATAGGATGCAGTCCATTGATGCCAAGAACATTTCCTGAAATTGTGGAATGAATCAAATGTGGCATTCAAAAAGCTAGCACATTCCAGGCAGTCAGAGAAATGTCATCTGACCTTGCTTTGCTAGGCCAATTAGCAACCAAAATCCTTTTTTGTTTGCATCAAATTCATCGGAAGGCCTGCAGTATGAAAAATGAAATGAAAACCTCTATAAGATTTTATGAAGTTTCCAGCACATCTGAGCTTCAGCAAGAAAAAGTATTTAGTCTCCCAACCCCAAACTAAACCTGAGCACATGGGGAAATGCAAGATTTTAAAGAGCTTCAAAGTTTAGAACTCCCCTTGCTGAGCCAGCAAAGAAGTGTAGATTAGGTTCAAGACTGGATAAAACTTCAAGCTAATTCTTATTCACATGATATGAAGTGCTATTTTGGTACAGTCCAACTAATCCATCTACTTTTTAGTTGCATACACGATTCTTTTTAGCTCTGAAAAAAAATAAAATAAAAATTATCACAGCACCATGAAGCAAAGTCACATCACTCACCAGGCCATTACAAGTGCTGATCACTGCAGTCCCATGTCCATCGTCTGGATGCAGTACCACGCCAATAAAGTGACATGAAGTTCCTGAGCGAGGCACAACTTTTGCACCAGTGTAGTTCCCATATCTCCTTTCCAGTACATAGTTATTGGAAAGAAATTCTTCATTAACAGTCAAGTTAAAAAACAGGTTCTTCTCCTTGTGGCTAATTTTATAATATACAAAATTTTCCTTTTGACTGAGGTCTCTTTTTCTCCTGGCACTTGAAGTATGATGCTGCAAATTGTAGGAGAGAAAACACCCATTCACATCTACTTTTGTAGGTCCAACCACGTGGTATTCTTGCAGCGCCTTGATAAAGTGCTCTAGAAAAATGCAGAAGGGACATTTTAGTTTGTGTCACTACAGGGATCAAGTTTTTTAAATAGGGAACTCCTTGGGGGAGGAGTGCGATTCATCACCCCATTTCACTGGCATAGAGTGGTGCTATGCACCACTACGGATTACCAGCCCGAGCACTTTAACAGCTTCTTATTTAGGCATTCTTAGTCTCCCATTTTAATGCTTACTCTGAGGCTAGGGACAGACATTACATGTAAGTCAGTTTAAGTGATCAGAAACTGGTTTAAACCTGTAACAGAATAGATGTTCAGTGCACATAAGCCAGTTTGAAAATGGCTGAAACCAGTTTGAGCTAAAACCTGGTTGAATGTAGTATCACACTTAACTGATTTGGCTCAACCCAGTTTATGCAAGGTCTGTCCCAGACCCCTTGCTGGTTTAAAATAAACCAGACTCCCCCAGCATCCTGGCATGCTCTCTGCTCCACAGCAAGGCTGACTCCTCCTCTCTGCTCCCTAGCCAGAGCTCTAGCAGAGACTGCTGACACAGCAGGGTCTGCCTGGCTTCCCCCTGCCCTCCCACCCCCCTCCCCCCACTCTGCTTGCTGGATAAGCAGGAATCTCCCCCTCCCTCCCACAGCATGGACCCTAGCCCCACAGACCCTAGGCATGTGGTATGCTAGGTAATACTGAGAGGTGTCCGTGTGTGAGTATTTCCAATTTCACTGGGACAGGCAGACAGAACAGTGACCACTTAGAGCTTTTTTGGAGCTAATCACCAGGTCACCTAGTAAATTGTTTAAGAAGAGCTGAATTAATAGAGAGGCTATTGTTTTGCTGATGAGGTGATAAACAGTTATCAGCTCCCTGCTGGCTTGCTCGCCTGTCAGTTTGCTGTAGACAGTATAAAGAAGCAGGTAGGGAGATTGAAAAGCTCCGTATCATCAACCAGTGCATGCACTGCACACACCTCCTTGCCTCAGAGTGCTAGCAGGGGGCTGGCAACACTCCCACTCCTTGAACAGCCAGTGGGAAAAAGCCTGGGATGGTCCAGGCAGGCCTCCCTGGCCATGCCCTGCCTCAGCTCAGTACTGTGTAAGGGAAGGGAGGGCTGCTCTAGCACCCCCTAGCTTCTAGCCTGAGCCACTGCAGGCATGTGCCTGAATTTCCTCAGTCCAGAGAAAATATCTGTTCAGTTATAAACTGGTTCAGCCTAGCCAGGTTAGACTAACCTGCAAAGATTGCATTAATTCAGGCTCAGGCATTTTTAATGTCTGTCCCTAGCCTGAAAGTTTAAAAGATCTTTAAGAAAAAATGTATGGGCTTAGGAGAGGTGGAGGAGGGGACTCCCCTGGGTAAGGGGCAGAGGAGAGGGGAGGTGAGAGGAGTCAGAAAGGAGACTGGGAAGAAAATCTTTTTGATGGAGGAAATGAATTGGGGTTGGGGCGCATGGTTGTGTGATTGTAGTGGGGTAGCACTGGAATTGGGGTTGGGAAGCATGGTTGTGTGATTGTAGTGGGGTAGCACTCTCCTAGGCGAGAAGCCGAGGAGCTGGAGTGGGATGTTTTGAATTGTGGGGGTATTATGGTAGGAGTTTGTTTTCTTATACTATAATATTTTATTCTGGTTTTATAAGCTATTTTGTCTTTAGCATATATCTCTAATAAATAAATGCAAACATACATAAAGCAGAATTTTAGAATTCAGAAGACACCAAGCACTAGATTATAGCATCATAACAAAGTTAAAATATGGCCTAAATTACTTCACCATGAGCTCAGTTTTACTCTCTCATGCCAGCAGCAATGCTTATTATTCTATATCTGTATTACCTTAGTGCCTAGGCTCCTTAATCATAGACAAGAACCCCACTGTGATGGTGTCATGGCTCAGGGTCCCCAAGGATGGCAGTGATGCCCCTAGGGCTCTGTGACCATGCCAGCTTCACCCTGTGGGCACCTTCTACTCTTTCCTGCCATGTCTTGTTGATTAAGATAATAGATAGGAGGCTGCCCTCAAGTTGCTAGGCAGTCATAGTCCTGATGGACCCCACTAAATCCTGTGGATTCTTAGACCCCTTGCTAGGTCCTGTTCTAAGTAGGTGCCTTGCTAGATACCCCAAGGCTTATGGGCTAGATGCATGGCTCCAAAACAAATAAAAAACAAATCATCACTCATTTACCACACCCCATGCCTCACAGGTGATATTTAAACAACCTCACCAAAAAGGGATGATTTGGCCTAACTCGGCCTTCTGTTATCACTAGGTCCCTGACCCCTGTCTCCATGCCTTCTGACGCTGGGCTTTCTATGCCCCATCTCCACACCCCCTGGCACTGGGCTCTCTGGTGCACCCTCACTGGCCTCTCTATACCCTGTCTCTGGTGAACCACATGGTAGTGTTGTAGCAAAACCCCCAGTTTTTCTTGTTTTTTTTCCCTTTAAAATGCATTCCCTCCGCTTCCCCAAGCATTTCTGACTTTTTCTCCCTCTCTATTCCCTATAGATAAGTATAAGTGAGCTAAGACATAGGATAAGCTTCAACATTTTATTTTGGTAGCAAGTTGTATTTGTTTTGTTTTTTCTCCTTCTTTATATTGTATAATTATGTTTATATTGATTTTTACTGTTCTATATTCCCATTTTACTGATACTATAGGATTTACACCTACATATGTAAGTTAGCATAAGTCATGTCAAGTTTCCATTTTGTTTGTCATGCCCTGGTATAACCTATGTCTTAACTGTGACTCATATCTAACCAGTCTCATGTAAATTGGTTTCTGAATGAATGAGGGTGCTTGAGAGACAATGGCAGTAGGTCTAAAAATAGCTCCCTCCGAATGACCAAACCATCAAAACCAATACCTGGACCAACAACCCAGCCCTTGGAACCAGCCTGAGCATTCAAGAAACAAAAGATGAGGCAACCTACCATTGTGCCAAGGCTGCACATGCTCAGTAAGAACACCTGGAGCCCTCCGGAACAGGACTGACATTGCCTGGACAGTCTCCCCATAGGAGATCATAGGTAGCCTGCCCCCTAAAAAAAGGGGTAGTGAAGACTGACTCCTTAGGACACCCTCCATCTGGACCAGCATCATGCCACACCATCTATTCCCCCAGAGGCCCTGCCAGCAACCCACCTCTGAACAACACCTGCTGGACAAAGACCCCTTTCCAGCCTCGATAGATAGCCAACACCCCCACCCCCTCTTCAACCAAGGACTTGGATTCCATTTCTCTTCCCTACCTGAAGTGTGTGAGGGTGTGAGCAATTGTGTCACACCCTCCTGTCTAACAGCTCAATATCGAGATCCTGAGAGTTGGCTTGACCCCACAAGGCAACAGTTAGCCCCAATGAGGCCTCCTCCTCCCCAATAAGCCTCATCCCGGTCCACTGGTACAAATAATAACATAAATACGAGCCCCTGGACTACAACATAACAATGACACTGAAGGCCACACTCTGCCCCTTTAAGAAGGCAAGCTTCTTCCTCAGCAATGTGTGCCTTGTAGCCCCAGGTACTTTAGGAGTTCCTAGAGCCCATCAATCTTACCAACAGCAGAACAGGCAAACAAGCATCTTCAAGTAGCTTTTCTGCAAGAGCTCCTTCTCCCCAGCTGCTGCCAGAGAACTAACTGCCACCAGCCCCACCCTTGCAGCTTATATGTGCCCAGGGTCCTGACACCTTCTGGTCAGCTGACTGGGTGCAGGTGCTAGCTAATTCCCTCATTAGACTGCTGCCAAGGCTACCTGCAGCTGTGGAGCCCTGCATAGCTCCCAGGGCCCTCTAGCTTAGCTGCTTCTGCTCATAAAGAAGCAGGGACACCTTAGTGTTTTGCATCAGATGCGTGCTGCACAGACAGGATAATGATAGTTCCTGTAAGCCCCAGACACAATGCGCAACAGATGGATGCAGACAGACAGAAAGGAGAGTCAGATGCGTGCTGCACAGACAGGATATTGATAGTTCCTGTAAACCCCAGACACAATGCACAACAGATGGATGCAGACAGACAGAAAGGAGAGCATGAGGCAAGAGAGAATGTGATCCCAGCTGCATTGTGTAAGGGATCCTGTGGCTAGTGCTCTCAGTCCCTCCCATAAAGTACAGTCTCCCCTCAGCTCCTACTAATTCTGGCAGGGATCAGGGGTGCCATCTTTTCTCCTCAAGCTCTGTGCCTGGAATATATGAATACAAGCTTGTATTTGTGCATTTGAAACCATTCAAGGAAGTTTTTACATCAACATTATACGAATGATGATGTATGTCTCTTGCCTTACTGTGAGATGGGTGAAGTCATCATGACTCTCTTGCCTATTTTCTTCAGGGAGGAAGGAAAACATTTCCTCAATCTTAGCTGACAACAATGTAATAAGAGACCTTTAGCTTCAACCTCTCCTGAGTGCTGTTTGGAGACATATTACTGAGTACCGGCCACTTTACAGGGTAATTAGGCATGAACAGAACATGCTGTAGTACACCTGCAGAAATTAATTATGAAACAAAATATGTATAGGAGCAAAGGGAATGAAACTACACTACAATAAAGTGCAAATAGAAAGGGTGAAAGATACTCCTTGTCGGTAATCAGCTTAACTGAGAGGTTAGCATAGATATTAGACCACGTCTGTCAGCTCTGTGGTAAGACTCCTGTCTTATCTGATCTGAAATCAAAGACAAGAGATGTAACTTCTTAGTGTCCAGTGGTTGGTTTGCGGAACAGTAATCAATTGTTTAAAGGTCAAGCTGGGCAACCAATTGTGAAAAATGTCACTTCCAAAAGCATGCATGGTTGACAATGACGGTTACCACTATATATGTGAAGGAGCTGGTATAACATTTGGTTATAACATTTTGCTGTGGGTTCAAACCCTCCTTTGGAGTCAGCTGACCCACAGATGATCCAACGGTAACTGGATACCAGGTCATTTGAGGACTCAGAGGAAGACAAGCCTAAAGCTTACCATGTTACTCCCATGAGCACTGTAAGCTTCAAACTGGTGTGCCTTACCTACTTAAGCCCAACAAGCTGAGAGGCTCAGGTGGCCCCTTGACCATGAAACAAATACTAAGGGGTTGCATACAAATTACTGTTTCTACCTCCCCAGTTAATCCTTACCACGCCATCAATCTGTGTGAGTTAGGGGACCTGCTGTTCACAGTGGCATGACATACCCTAACACAATGTGTAACATATTCCCGTGGTATGTGTTCAGAGGGTTTACATCACCTATAAGGTATCAGTCCGATACAGGGAAGGGGCTGGAAAACAGACAACTAGGGTGGTTCTCTTCTGAATTACTTTTAACACAACAGTAAATTGAAGATAAATAATGATTTAAAGATAGAAAACTGCAAATAGACGAATACTAAAACCTCGCCATTTAACTTTCTCTGTAAATTCCCCCAGGGAATTTCTCTATAAATTCCCCCTCAACACACATATTTTGCACTAATAAGGATTACTGGACCCTTGCATAATGCTCAGCTTTAATTGCACTGGACAGACTGCTGACTGTGATGCCCAGTACTCTGGCTACGGATTTTCAATTCTGAGGCAGGAGAAAGTGAAGCCCCCAAGTCCCTGTGGCAGGCTGAGATTGTGACACCTATACTAAGCCATAGCAGGATTTTTCCCAGTTCCCCTGATACTTTCTGTCCTCCTGAACAGGGATAGCAACCCAAGTATTTCTGAGGAAGGCAGGACAAGCCAGTCGTTCTTCTCTAGTGAGCGGGCTTTCTCTTTTGATCTCTAGCTTGGCATTTTCCTTGTAAAATCCTCACAGACAGCATTCAAGATATTAAATCCTCTGCATCAGCAACAGTAGAGAGTGGACTTGGAAAGTTACTGCATCTTCTCCATTCTGCTGGAGCTCCTCAAAGCTGCAATTTTGTTCCTCTTCAGCCTCCTCTCCATCCTTCCCCTGGCAGAAAGATCCTTGCTCCAGTTCTAAGCTGATTTAATCAGAAGGCATCTTCAGGATTTGCAAGCCAGGACAGTATTTTTCAACTGAAATTCTGAAGATGATTGTGGCCTTATTGGCTGGACAGGAAATGCCAACAGGAGGGCTTGCACTGCTATAACTAGAGCCAAAAATCAGTGTGCCACTGTGGTCAGTTTTTGTCCTGGAGTTATTGCATTTATCATGAGTGCCTTTCTGTGCAAGGTTGGCATGACTCACTAGCAAATGGTAGACACACTGGTGTTTACACAAGCAATTCTTGAAAAGTACCTCACCTGCAGATTAGTTTAGGACACCATGATTGTGACAATCTTCAAGAAATTACAGAAGGATCACCTTGCTGTCCACCACAGGAAAGATCGTTGTGAGAACCCTCCTAAGCCATCTACTTCTATTTGCTGAAAAGCTCCTCCTGGAATCCCAGTGTGGGTTTAGGGCATCAAGAGACACAACTGACATGATCTTCACAGCTCACCAGCTGGAGGAAAAATGCTGGGAACAACATAAACCTCTCTACATGGTCTTCTTTGATCTCAGAAAAGGCTTCAACTCTCAAGCAAGAACCACTGTGGAGGATCCTTCTGAAGTATGGATGCCCATCAAAATATGTCACCGCTACATCATCACTCCAATGCTCTTCTCGATATTTCTTACCATGATGCTACATCTGAACACCAACAAGCTTCCAGTCAGAGTGGAGCTAAAGTACTGAATGAACAGTAAACTGTGTAACCTCAGCCAACTCCAAACCAAAACCACCTTGACCTGAATCATCGAGCTCCAGTACACTGATGATGGTTTGTCTGTGCTCACTTGAAAGCAGACCTTCAGGCAATCATCAACGTCTTTACTGAGGCACTCAAGAAAATGGGACTGATGCTTAACATTCAGAAACTAAGATCCTCCATCAACAAGCTCTTAATGAGCAGTCTCCAGCTCCAGTAATTCAGATTCACAGTAAACTCTGGAGGACACAGTATTTCCTATACCTTGGAATCCATCTCTGTTACAGAAGGCTGATACTGATGAAGAAATCCAACATCACCTCAAATATGCAAGTGCACCCTTTGAATGCCTGAGGAAACAGGTGGTTTAAGATTGCGACATCAGATCCAAAACGAAGCTCATGGGTTATCATTGTTATCAAGTAGTTGTTGTCCCCACCTTCCTGTACAGAGCTGAGATACAGACAATGTACAGGAGACACTTCAAGTTGCTGGAGAAGTACCATCAAGACTGCCTGCAGAAGCTCCTTTGAATCCAGTGGGGAGACAGACACACCAATGTTAGTGTCCTCTTGCAACCACACACCATAATCAGTGAGGCACTGCTCATCCAACATCAATTTTGCCAGGCCAGCCATATCTTCTAGATACCCAACTCCTGACTCCCAAACCAAGTTTTATTCTCCCAGCTCAGTCAAGGCATATGCTCAAGCGGATAGCAGAGAAAGTGCTTCAAGGACATCCTCAAAGCCAGCTTGAAAAAATGCAGCATCAATATCCATTTGTGGGAGACTATCATCCAGGACTGCCCCAAATGGAGGGAGAGTCTGCTGCAAAGGTCTCAATATTTTGAAACTTACTGACGACAACAGGAGATGGAAAAACAGGAGCAGTAGAAACAGCATGTTGTGAACCAAACCAAGAACCCAGAGTCACCCACCCCACACAGAAACTTGTGCCCAAGCTGCAACAGTCTGTTGATCCCAGGTAGGCCTCATTAACCATCTTTTGACCCACAGATAAAACCTTGGCTGTGAGAGATTTCCAATGAGTTTAGGTGCTGGTTTGGTAGGTTGCAGACATGTTTGCTTGTCTTTTAAACTGTTGGGGGTTTTTTGTCTCTTCTTTTGCAGTATGCAGTCAAATCTCAATGACTGCATACTTGTATTGAAAATTATGGTGCACAAAATGCTGACAAATGCACAGAGTAAGCAAATGGAAACAGAGACAAATATTTGCTTTCTTAAATGATCTGGACTCTGAGTGGTGACTCATGTAACATGAGAGAATCAGAGACTTTCACGCAGAAAGATATGTTTTAAGTTGATAAAGTCCCTTTACAAGAAGAGATACTTTATCACTTGCCATTGTTGCACCCTGGCTTCAAGTTTCCAACATGTCTTTGGCACTGCTTCACCCCTGACTTCCTTTGACCCATGTGGATAGCAGACAGGTCATTGTCCATTGTCATCGTCTGTTTCTGGAGGGAGCCCCTCAGGGCTAGAGAAAGACTAAGTGTACTTAGCTCTAAGTGTACTTGGAGAATCCAGAGGAACAGAAGATCCACCCAGAGGGAATATGAATTCAAATACACTTTCAGCATTTAACAATAGCTCTTCTTAAATGTCGGTTTCACACGCCCAGTAAGCCACACTTGCTCCGGGCACTTACTGAATAGAATATCTGTAGTCACTTCGGCGAGATGAGAGGCTCGGTTTAGCTTATTTCTTGAATCTCCTTTCTGATTGTGATAACACTTCAGTCTTATCACTGCATCAATCCACTAAACTGAATCCTCTTCTCTTTCCCAGCAGCAAACAACTGTAAGTCAGGTTGGGATTTTTGTTTATTCAAAACCATTTTTAGACTCTTAGAAAAAATAGAGAGCTTTTGATATAAAATATGCATTTATATTCTACATCCATTTCCCAGGGCCTGGGAAAGCAACAATCACCTCTTCCTGATCTTCCTAACCTACCCCTCTTCCTCTTATTGTCACCAAGACAAATGATCATTTCTACTGGTTTTTCCTGCAGCCAATGATAAACTCCAAGGTAATGTGTTGCTTAGTCCTTGGCCAATTTATTTATCCAGTTGTTTTTTTCATAAGGCCTGAGACATTTAGGTGATTTTTCTCCCCAGTGCCCAATCTCTTAATTGTCAGGATGAAGCCTGGAGACTAGACTAGAAAACCATTTTCAGAATGTGAAATTTTCCTCATCTCCCACTCTCCTACTGTGCTGAGGCTTTCCCCAGCATCAGTGTTCCCAAACCTGTGGTCTTTTAACTTAGAGATTGGTTTTTCAGATTGTCCAAAACCTTGCAGAAGTATTAATCAGTTACACAAGGAAGGCCAGGTAACACCATTACCCCATTTTCTAAGAGTTATGTCAATCTATACAGCTGAGATGTCTCTTCCTACCCCACACCACACCACAACTGAAACTTTTCACTCAGATACAGTCCAGGGGCTTAATTTCCCCTCCTCACTGGAAAGAAATAACCACAATTGATTTAGCATTCAGAGGGAGGCAATCTGGGTTCCAAATGGCTGTATTTCTTCTCTAATACGGGGTACTGCAGCATAGCATTGCAGAGGTTTCTATGTAGAAGAGAAGGTACATTTACAGGACACTGAACTTCCTAAATTTTATGATGATATAGGCTTTTAGATAAGTGACTCTTAAGATTAAATGTATAATGCAATATGTTTCAGCAATAGACTTTTCAACTGTAATCTAACCTCATTGCTTCCAGAAAATAACAGAACTACCCAGTCTGAGCTGTCAGCATTGTGCATTATTGGTATCAAGTTTAAAATCAAAAGTTGCAAGCTCTTTGTCTCAAAAGTGTGACAAGGAGAGTGCCACAAGTTTATATTCCAAAATGCTGTGAGCTACTTTAGTCAATGGTACATTGCAGGATCAAAGAAAAAATGCAACTCATACAGCCCCTTGCAAGGTTTAGTCTTCAGTGTGTGCATAAAGTTGGAAAGCAGCAAGTCTGACTTGGTGAAAATAAATCAATCACAGAGCTACTTGGAAGTTAGATACTCTAAAAGTAATGAAACACTGTGCAAATACAGAAGCAGAGGTTTCAGCAGACACTGCATACAAAGGAATAAACTGAACCTCTTTACTTAGAGCTTTGTGACCCCGGGTTGTTTCCATCAGGAGCATGGGGAGAAAGGATGCCAAGTTTAGAGTTAAACACAACTGTTTAATTAAAATGAGAGCAGCCACTGACCTTGCTTCTTGTCTGGATAGAAAAATCTGCCCGGTGGAGGATTTCTACCATAGCAGAGCACTGGAATGTGAAGGAACTGAACCCAAAAGGAAAAGTTTGCAATCCAGCTTCTCTGGACACATGGCATGTTTTAGTTGGGGGAAACAATACAGTGGACTCAGCGTATTTAGCAAACTCCTAGCTGGAGAGGAAAGTGTAAAGTTGCATGGCAGGCGGTAGAGGGAAATTAATGCGGAGAGAAAGCTTCTTCGTACAGAAAGGGCAGAGCAGCTTTTCCTGAAAAGGGGAGTGATTAGAAATCCGGTGTCTGATTTCTGCAGGGGGAGGAAGGAGGGCTCAGTAAGGAAGTCATTTCCAGGGAATCCCTCATTCACTGACAGCCTTATGCTAATACATTCATGTCAGTTCTCATGAACCTTACTCTCCAGTGCTCGAGTGGCTGATCCTGCCTGGGAGAGGCTGGAAGATGGATCTGGAACAAAAGCTGCCTGGCTCCATTTCTGGAACCAAGATAACAAAATCGAGTGTCCTGGATGAAGCAAGGAGCAGCCCCCATAGGCTCTGTCCTAGGAGTAGTGATCCTAGCCCCTCAAGCATGTGTCATACACATGCATTCACTTCTCTTTTGCTCATGATGTCCTGTGAGTAACTCAAGTTCCAGGGCCCTAGCCTGAATCTGCACCAGCCTGCAGTGCTTGCTACAATGTGCTGTTCCCCGATATGTACCTGGTACCAGCTCAATCCTAGCACCACACAGGCTTGAACAATTGAGCTTTGCTCACTCAATAGAATTCAGAGCTTATTTGGCCTGAGACATGAAATCTCAACCTCTCCCCCTGCAAAAAAACAACAAAAGCACTGGTATAAGCTTCCCAGACTACCATTTGTGCATGGTGATGCCTTTCTGGAGCTCCTCAGGCCACAGCAGGTCTGCCCTCTTCCTGTTCCCCCCTCCCCTCCCCCTTTCCTGTGCCTTATGTAGACTGCTGCCCAGTGAGCACCCACGTCCAAGCTATATTGTGCCAGGCTAGAGCTGTTCCAAGTGGTGTGCCAGGTAAAGTTCAGCTCAGCTCATTGCATCCAGCCTCCTTGAATGCTAAGAACACAGCGATCTTTCCTGGACGTACTAATATGGCATCATGAGAAATTCGTCAAATAAAAGATATTGTTTACAGAACCTGAAGCAATTACATTTTCTTTTAGCCCACAGTGTCCCTTTCCCTTGATTGCCTCTCTCTACTCTGTTTTTCCTCACACTGCCATGTCGTATTAGACTGTAAACGCCTCAAAGCAGGAACCGTGCCTTTGAGCTTGTCGGGGAATGCCCTGTCTTCAGGCAGGTATCCAGGTTGTAGCCATATTGGTCTAGAGGAAAAAGCAATCAGGGCTCATGGACAGAGGTGATATTTTTTATTAGATCAACAAGATTTTTGCAAAATAATTTCTTTAATTGCTAGCTGTCTTCAGGCATGCCTTTCAGGCCATCTGTGCAGTTAACCATCCAAAGAGGGTGCTCTTCCCTCCACCTCCCAAGCCTTGGAGGCAGTGAGGGCAGGAACTGCTAAACAGCTGTTTCATTTCACCTCTGCGAGTGGCAGCAGCTGTCAATGCTGGCAGAATAGACCACAGCAGAGTTTGTCCTGCAGTTGCAGCAAACTCCAAGACAAAAATAGGATACAGCCCTTGGGCAGTCAGTAAAACTAGGAATATTCTATGATTCCCAGCCGGGTTTGCTTTTCCTAGTCCTTATGAAGTATTACAGGCCAACCGTAAAATGTTCTCTCTCCGGTTGCTTTTAGTAAAGGAATCTCCTCTCTCATGTTTCCTTTCTTACATGGTTCTGAAACCCAATTCATCATAGAGGATTTTTTCCCCTAAAAGTTTTTCTTCCCAACAAAACCGCAAGACTCAAAATGTACCTCCCTCCATTACTGAGGTGGAGGGATCTGCTTATACAGACTGCTCTTCTCACAGCATGCCTTGCTGAATCATCTGCCGCTCCCAAGAACAATAGCCTTAGCAAGCTTTGCAGGGTTTCCTTCACTGTCATGAGATCTTCCATCTGGTGATCATATAATTATGATTAACATTTTTTACCAGTAATTCATACCTGATACTGGTACACCATGGCACATCTCAAAATATTTTACAAAGGAAATCAGAAGCTTTAACCAGATTTTACAGATGGAGAAACAGACTGAGTGCCATAGTCACCCAGCAGGCTAGTAGCAGGGCCAGAAAGTGAATCCAGGCCTTTTGTCTACCAGCAGAGTGCTTCATAGACCCAGAATAAATAAATTTTGAGATTTACAGGGCTTCTTTCAATTTTTTTTTCTTCATAGGAAAACTGAAGGGCAGAGTTAAGGTTGTCTGGATATCTCAGCTAAGCATTCTTAAACAGGTTTAATTTCTTTTAAGTTTACCTTTAACTTTGAATTTCTTGTTTCAGGGACAATGATAACATTCTTGTTTTTACCTTTAAAAAAATCACTGCTATCTACTCTCACACTTAACTTTAATTTAGCTTTTTGGGGAGGGGGTGGTTATGTTTTAGGCACTCTGCTCCCTGCCTCTCCCAGCTCATCTGTACCATCAAGATCTAGACACACAGTCTCACTGAAATCAATGGAAACTTCTGCTTACAGCTGATGGAGCGATATTAATTTAGAGGGCATATTTAGTACCTTTCTTACTGAGCCCTTTCAAAAGCACTCTCAGTTTATCTCTTTAACTTTAAAGAATGAGAATATTTAAACTACAGAGAATCAGGTCTTAAGAATGGGCAAAAAAAATCAAATTTAAAGTCAGTTGGAAATGCAACTTCTTCTCATCATGAGACATGATGGAGCTGTGGAAACAAAAACATGCTTACAGAAGAAAACAGATATTTGATTCATGAGTCATAGTGTGTGCTTTGCTAGTTACTGGAACAATGCTGCAAGGCTACAAAAGAAACCTGTGTCTTATGAAGTGTATGATAATGAGCTACGCTCACTGTAAGATGATTTGTTTGCTGCAATGCGATTTCTTTAATATGCATCTCCTGTGCTTTTTTTGAGTAGATGACTGTGTATGGTATAGCTACTATATTAGAGAGAAGATGTCCCCAGGGACCATACCAGGAACTAGCTATCAGGAGTCTCTGGAGAGTCTACTCCCATCTCTGCCACTAATCTGCTTTGTGACATTGAATAACTTGTGTAACCTTTCTAGTACATCACTTACTCATCTCCATAATGAATGTCATAATGCGGGGGTGTCAAACTCATCTGGCTCGGAGTCAGAAGACTGGGAAAGGGCCAATCACAAGCAAAAAGAATGGCCTGTAACCAGCCCTATGGACCTGTGCCCTCCCCATCCCTCCCCTCCATGCCAGATGCAGCACATGTGGCACCTAGTCTGGCTGTTGGTGGGGAGAGGGAGCACCACAGTTAGGATGGGTCCTGGACTGACCAGAGCAGACACCACATGAGGTGTGTCCCAGATCATGCGAAGAAATAGCTGTGTGCAGCACAGGTCCTGAGCTGGTTGGAGCAGGCAGTGTGCGCAGTGTGCATCCCAGGGACATGCATAACATAACACCAGGGGCCAGAGGATGGGACTCTGCGGAACAGATCCAGCCCACAGGTTGAACCTCTGATACCCCTGTCATCATGCTAGCCTGCTTCACAGGTGTGTTGTGATACTTGCAGTGCTTAATGTTCTAAATGCACTTGGAAACCCTTGCCACCTATCCCCTCCCTGATTTTGATTACTGTTCACAGAGCCATTATGACTGTAAAATCATGAGACAGAGACAAAGAGAGAAGAGGCTAGGAGGAAAAGGATAGTCTTATTGTTAGGAGCCTTAGCTGAGACCTGAAAAATACAGGTTTAATTCTGGCCTCAATTGCAGATTTCTCATGTACCTTGGAAAAGTCTTTCAATTTCTTACTAAAAGGAAGGAAATAGCACTTTCTACCTGAGAGTAGTGTTTTGAGCCTATATAAAATAAGCATTAAGAGTCAACCTGATGCAACATTAATAGTAAGTACTGCAGGTAAACTAGTTACTTAGCAAGATATAGGAAAGGAACATTTTGCTGATGCTGTGAATTAGGTAGTTCACGTAATCTAATTTATGCGCTTCTTACCTTATAATTAGAAACCTCATTAAATTGTGGCAAAACAAAGGGTTTTTTGTGGCCAGAACCCAACAAACAGAGCCGATTTTGTGGCCCCTCAGTGCTGATTGGTGGAGAGGCCCTGCCCCTCAGTGCTGAGCAGCTCCAGAGGGAAGAAGGGATGAGAGAGCAGCCATCATTGTGATTGCTGGCTGCCCTTCCTGAAGCCCCACCCCTTGGTGCTGATTGGCGGAGAGGCCCCAGTGGTAGGGGGACAGGGAGGTAGCCACCATCTTGTCTGCTGCCCTTCTGTAGCAGGGCACTGCTTGTGCCAGCCACTTTAAGGGCCTGAGACAGCCGCCGGCAAGTGCCTGATGAGGGCAGCCATTTTAGATTCAAGGCTGCCCATATAAACAGGGCATTTTGCTGCTGAGAGGTGAGGCAACAACATTGCCTGGCCGGAGGGCTGCTGGTGTCATCTGGAGGGAAGGGAGGAGCTGTAGGGGATGGTCAGGAGGCTCCTGGTCCTGGGTATGACCTAAAACAGCACCCTGCTGAGAGTGGGTGGCCTGGTAGGGTTCCTGGTGGTGCGGGAGCCCCCAGGAAATGCCAAGCCAGTTACCACCCCAGTGAAAGGTGGGTTGGGGTTACCCCTTTTTGTAGGGTCTGGAGGGTGGACCCCCAGAGAAAGAGATTAAGGTCATAGACTCAGGCCTGTCTGGACTTCCCCTGACTGGTCCATGTTGGGGCCAGGACCGGAAGGGCTGGGGCCCTGGGGCCCACCGCAAGGAACACCCAAGAGCTGAGGGCCTGGGGCTCCAACTGGCCCAGAGGTGGGCCAGGGCTAGAGAGCCAAAGGTCCTAGGGGACCATGCCCAGAAGGGGAAGTGGTTCAGGGAGCTGTGCTGCCGAGAATGAAGGTGGGTGAGACCGCCTGAGGAGAGGAATCCAGGCAGGGTTGAATTACGAGGATTCTGGGGCCCAGTGCAGGGGCCGGTGACAATGAGAACATCTAGATGCCATCTGCCAGGCTTGGGCTGCAGGGTAGGGGAGGAATGGAGCTGCAGATAGCGCCCCCTGGCATTGGGGCAGGAAATGGGCAGCCTCCCGCTTAATTTCATCAATGAACTAATTAGCAA